CCCCGACGGAAAAAAGAACCCACCGTTTCCTTAAACGCGCCGCTAAATAATGACGTACTTGCTCGTCGAGATCGACGGTTTTAACTAGCGTGATAAGGCGAGATCGAACGCTGCTGTAATCGATCGTTTCGAAAAAAGTTGCTGCCCTCGTCGATACCTCCGATGGCTTTACGACATTTTTATGGAGATACAGGCACGGAGAGGAGATTGGAGGGAGGCTCGAGGGGTGGCTTACGCTTTTTTCTTTTATGACGTCGCTGTAGGTTCAGGCTGTTGCATTTTATGATGGGGAATTTTAATTTTGGTGATGTTTTGGGAGGGGAATTTATGAGGTTGGGAGATTGGGAATTGAAATTTTGGGGAGGTAAGGATTTGGAGGTGTGAGTTAAGGATTTGGGAGTTTGGGAATTTGATGATTTGGGGGTTGGGGGGGTAAGAATTTAGGGATTTGGAAGGTGGGGAAATTTGAGAATTTGGGGATTTGGGAATTTGGGAATTAGGGGAATTTCAGTATTTGGGGATTTAGGAGATTTGGGGAGCTGGATTTTGGGAGTTTAGAGAGTTCGATAATTTGGGGGTTGAAGATTTGAGGATTTGGGGATTTGGAAGGTGGGGGAATTTGAGACTCTAGGGATTTCAAAATTAGGGGAATTTCAAGGTTTGGAGATTTGAATTTTGGGAGTTTAGAGAGTTCGATAATTTAGGGGTTGGAGATTTGAGAATTTAGGGATTTGGAAGGTGGGGAAATTTGAGAATCCGGGAATTTGGGAATTAGGGGAATTTTAATATTTGGGGATTTGAGAGGTTTGGAGATTTGAATTTTGGGAGTTTGATAATTCGATAATTTAGGGGTTGGAGATTTGAGAATTTAGGGATTTGGAAGGTGGGGAAATTTGAGAATCCGGGAATTTGGGAATTAGGGGAATTTTAATATTTGGGGATTTGAGAGGTTTGGAGATTTGAATTTTGGGAGTTTGATAATTCGATAATTTAGGGGTTGGAGATTTGAGAATTTAGGGATTTGGAAGGTGGGAAAATTTGAGAATCTAAGGATTTGGGAATAAGCGATTTGGGGTTTGGGAGGATTGAGATTTGGAATTTGGAGAATTTAGGGATTTGGAAGTGTGGGAATTTGGAAATATGAGAATTCTATAATTTGGAGATTACAAATTTAAGGATCTGAATATGTGAAAATTGGGAAGATTTAAGAATTTGTGTGATTTGCAGATTTAGAGATTTAGTCATGGGGGAAATTTAAAGATTTGAATTTCAAAAATTACAAAAATTACAAAAATTACAAAAATTACAAAAATATCAAAAATATAATAAATACTACAATCACTATATTATACATCATCAACGAATACAAAAGTATCCTCCTAGCACACAAGTATCGTGAAGTACATTTCGAAGAAGAGCGATCGCGACCTATCGACGCTCCGAGCCTTACCGGATGCTTCCTCGAAGCGAAATCCAGCATGAGACTTCCTTTAATCACGCGTCGACGATGAAACCAGCCGAAGGAACGTTTAATCTCCTCTGATTCGGCCGTTTTCAAACAGTAGAAATGGAAACGTCGAGTCAGGCGTTTCTACGCGATTTCAACGAGAGAGGGTACGGCTCGATGATGCTCGAAGGAAGACGCCTGTCTAATTATCTTTGGTGTGTGTTTTCACTCGTTTCGATCTCCGATGCTCTACTCTGCCCCTCCGAGCTAACGATTTTCGACCTTCTTTTACTTTTTATCCTCTTCGTTTTTCGCTCGATTGAACGCATCGATCGGTCAGCAATCAGCTTTTTAAGGCCATTAGAGGCTCTCAGGTATTTAAACTTAATTCTGTTACCTAGCTTTTCGGTGGGGCTTTAGACTTTTTATGGGTGTTTCGCTCTTTATGGAATGCTAATTTTTTAGGGGTTATGGGTGTTTTTGACGTTTGGGTGGGTTTGGAGGTTTGGGGAGATGGAAATTTGGGGTGGGTTTGGAGGTTTGAAGAACTGGAAATTTGGGGGTTGGAAATTTTTGAATGAAGAATTTGGGATTTGGGGATCTGGTGGTTTGGAAATTTGGATTTCGAGAATTTAAGAACAGGGGATTTGGAGATTTGGAAATTTGGAATTGGAAAATTTAGAAATGGGAATTTTGAGAATTGGGAAATTTTGGAATTGGAAAATTTAGAAGTGGAAATTTTGGGAATTGGGAAATTTGGAGTTGGAAAATTTTGGAATTGGGAAACTTGGAACTGGAATATTTGGAAATGGAAAATTTTGGAATTGGGAAACTTGGAGTTGGAAAATTTTGGAATTGGGAAAGTTGGAGCTGGAAAATTTTGGAATTGGGAAATGTGGAGTTGGAAAATTTTGGAATTGAGAAACTTGGAATTGGAAAATTTGAAGTTGCCAAATTTTGGAATTAGGAAATGTGGAGTTGGAAAATTTTGGAATTGGGAAACTTGAAATTGGAAAATTTTGGAATTGGGAAATGTGGAGTTGGAAAATTTTGGAATTGGGAAATGTGGAATTGGAAAATTTTGGAACTGAAAAATCTGGAATTAAAAAATTTGCAATTGGAAAATGTAAAAGTGGAAATAATGAGAATTGAAAAATTTTGAATTGGAAAATTTCAGAAGTTACAAAGGTAAAACAGTATCTTACAAAGTAACCACTTGCAT